CAACAACTATTTATATAGCATTTACCTTGTATTAGCTAACATAAGTAACCTAGAAACGATTTAAAGTATACAAGAGGATGTGCATAGGTTATATGCAAATACTACGCCATTTTATAAAAGGGACTTGAAATCCACAGATTTTAGTATCTGCAGGGGTGCTAAAACCAATCCCCTGTGATACCAAGGGGATGATTGTATATATTAAATGTCAAAATATATGAAATATTCATATATTAAAATAGGAATTACAAATATAAATTTTAACATTTAAATTTTTAAGTAAATATCTACTAACTTCTTTAATAATTTAAGTGTAATAAACCAGACATCAATATCATCATCATGAAATATTCATATATTAAAATAGGAATTACAAATATAAATTTTAACATTTAAATTTTCACGTAAATATCTACTAACTTCTTTAATAATTTAAGTGTAATAAACCAGACATCAATATCATCATCATAATGAAGTTATATGACAAGTATGTTGCTAAACGTTTCATATGAATTATCTAATTCTAAAAACAAACCTATGAGATAGAAATTATTATCACATTTTACAAAAAAGAAAACTGAAGGTGAGAGGTTATCTAACTTGCCCAGGATTATAAAGCTGTTACATGATAGAGCCATATACCATTTCACTGAATACAAAATACTTCTTAACTGTATAATGTGCCAATATTTCAAATATAACTAAGAAGGAAAAAACACTGCCAATTAAACTGACATGTTTATCCATTGTGATACATACCCCTTCTACAGAAATGTTAAAAATGTGAAAATATGTGTCTCAAAATCAATAAATACCATAAAATACATAAAAAACTACCATATTGATTTATTACCTATTTACTACCTAAGAAAATCTAATCAAGTGACTCTTACCTTTGGAAAACATAGTCAAGATATCTGGGCTTCCCCAGCTCCACGTGTACTTGCTTTCATTAAAAAGAGAATCAAATTCAACAGGATTTTCCTTCCATCCTTCAAGAAATTGAGAAAAAAAGCAAGCAATAATAATAGTAATATATACATGATGAAATATGCCTCTAAGAAAGTATTCTTCAAATAATAATAATAACAACTAGTTGGCGAATGAATGTAAAACAAGTGATAGATTTTATATTACATGTATTATACCACCATTAAAAAAACAATTAACGATAGATAACTTACTTCTTACTAAAATTGAAAATCACATTTGAACTTTTGAGAGTTATATCTTGAAAAACCATGAATCCATCCAACCATACTCTTTCAATAGCACAGGATGATGAAAGACAAAATCTTAATTCCAGAATCAATACCAGTGTGTGTTCATGTGAGTAGGTATGCTAAAACACTTGTCAAAATTATCCCAAAATACACTTTTCACTTTGTGACATGATGCAGTGGTAAAGAAGCAATATTTATATGACTAATTTTCAGGTTAGTAAAATTGTCTAAATGAAAAATACCTCTGGCAACTGCACTGACATCTTCATAAAATCCGGCTATCAGGGCTACGTGACCTGGCCGAGATTCTGTTGGCACACGTGTGTGAGATATCCCCCAACTACCTTCATGCATTATAATATTCCTAAAAAATACACAGACAAACAGTTAACAGAGACTATGACTAAATACTCTCATAAGGTTTTAGAAAAATAAGATTATGACAGAAGGAATCAAAACCATAAAAGAAGTAAGTCAAAACTTTAGAAGGAAAAGAATCTTTCAAATCCCAGCTGAGCTTAGTCCTAGCCCTCCCATCAGCTGAATACACTAGTAGGAGTGAGCTCAGGTGAGATCAACAAAGAACCACTCAACCACCGCATAGAGTCATGAGACAAAATACACCATTGCTGTTTTACACCACAAAATATTGAGACAACTGATATACACAATACTATTAAATCAATGTCATATTTTACTGAGTTTGACAATAGTCCTGTTCTTAAGAGATACTGAAGTATTTAGTAGTGAAGCGTCACAATGTCTTGCTTTCAAATTGTTCAGAAAAACTAATTACAACTAGAAGCCCACACACGCACGCCTCTGTGTGGGTGGGTGTTTTAGAGACAGAATGCAAATATGAGAAAAAGTTAAAAATTGTCATATTATTTTTTTAATTTAATTTTATTTTACTTCTCAAAATACATTGTACTTGATTTTCACACCCCTTTACCCCTTCCTTTCCACCTCCTGTCCTCCCCCCCCCACACATCGTATCTATGCACTTGACTTTAATAGTTCAAGGAATTTTTGTGGTTATTTTGTCTTCTTCCTCCCACCCTTTATTAGTTTGTGTGTTTATTTATTTATTAATTTTTAGCTCACAAATAAGTGAGAACATGTGGTATTTCTCTTTCTGTGCCTGACTTGTTTCACTTAATATAATTTTCTCTAAGTCCATCCATGTTGTTGTGAATGGTAGGATTTTGTTCTTTTTTATAGCAGAGTAGTATTCCATTGTGTAGATTTACAAGAGTTTCCTTATCCACTCATCAAATGATGGACATTTGGGCTGGTTCCAGCTCTTGGCTATCGTATATAGAGCTGCAATAAACACTGAAGTACAGGTATCCCTTTGGCAAAATAAAGGAACGCAGGAGAGGAGTAATGGTAAAATAATTTATTATGCTTATATATATGTTTATATGCTTATATATAATAATATGTGTGTGTGTATATATATATATAAAATAAATCACATCAGCAGTATTGCCCAAGGAAATTTATATTGTTATTTCCCCTTGAAATGTTATCATTTTGAGGAAATAGTCATAGTAGTAGAGAAAAAGCACAACATCTCTCTCCATTTAAATTGAAGGCACGTATTGCCTTTTACCAAGAAGACAAGTGGATATGACGATCTCAGAAGAGCCTATGTGATATAACATTTTCTCCTGCAGTTAAAGTGGGGTTTGTAAAACATCATTTTATTTTATATTTCAAGTAAACTTTATTGAGCTG